TAAGCCCTGTGACAAAGCACTATTGGGCACAATGGGACCAGTTGAGGCTTGAAGATGGTATTCTTCTCCGGAGATGGGAAACGTTATATTCGGAAAGAATAAACCAGTTTTATTAAGTAAAGACTTGTGTCGTTAAAGTTTCGTCGGAACGAAGTTACGGAAAAATCAATTAACAAACGGAGACGTAACATATCTATTGGTTTAATGTAAGTGGCTATTGTTCGGGACGAACAATACTAAGGAAGGGGAAGTGTTACGACAGCGGAAGTCACGCGACGCTGGGAGCATGCGCTGGAGTTCTAGAAATATTGAGGAACCTGTCGAACGTCCTAGCGCTTGCTAGACTCGCGCTTTTATAGTATATAAGCCGGCAAATAATGTGACGGCAATAATTGAATTGCCGACATAGAGATATAGAGACAGATAATCGAGTGAAGTGAACGGTAGTGACCGTAAGTAAAGTGCGTGAATCGTTGTGAATTATAGCGTGTGTTGAAGTTAAAGTGACTGTGGAAATTAAGTGTACTGCAAAGTTGAATTGAGAAAGAATAAACTAGTTTTATTTAAGAAAGGACTTGTATCGCTGAAGTTCTTCGGAAAGAATTTCTACGGAAAATTAACAAACGACCAGAGACGTAACAATACCTTTTCCATATGGGTCATTCCGCAGTATTTCAGTGTAAATTCACATAGTACGTTACATTTAATTTAAAATTTTAACCGAGGTCTAGATCTCGGTGACTGTATAGCTAGCTACGACCATGATGGTATTATGCATTTAATATCAAACTTATCAATTATTCATTGTACCATACATTGTTGGTTTAGCGACAGTACGTGGTAGTTGGAGAGTAAATACCAGATACACTATACAGGGATACTGAAAAAGTATGTAGATCTGCGTTTTGGAGGTTTTAAAGGCTATGCAAATACAATACGCAAACTGTACGACGGGCAAGCACTTGTGTTCTTCACAAGAACATCATATTGCATTCCTACTTATCAAAGTCTAAGTCAGACTGACGTCAATTCACAGACATATCTTTTTGTAGCACGCCTAATTTGTCGTGTGCAACAGACTTATAAATTTTACTAAAAGCTTGCTAGATTTCGTGTAGATACACATAGTAAATTCGGAATTATAATCAACATTCATTGTCTAATGCAGAGGGGATCAACCCCGTAAACATTTTAAAATCCTTCAGAAAAATATATAATACTGTTGCGTCATCGAAATCACGTGACTGGTGTGGCGCCACCTATTTTCTAGAACTATCCTGTACCTTGGCGAATGCTCTAGTATTTACTAGATATAGGGTAGTCTGGTAAATAAAAGAGGGTGACAACGTGACGGGAAGGTAATGTAATGTGTGTGTAGATAGTGAGTAATTGAACTGCAGTCAGAAGTATTGTTGACGTTGATATAGCGTTTGTTTTAGCGTGATTGTTGAAAATAAGTGTATTGTAAAGTTGTATTCGGAAAGAATAAACCAGTTTTATTAAGTAAGGACTTGTGTCGCTAAAGTTTCGTCGGAACGAAGTTACGGAAAGTTAATTAACGAACGGAGACGTAACAATACTAACTGTAAGTGCTAGATCTGTATTTGTTTTCTGTTAATTCTAAAAGAACATTTGGTGTATTTTCATATCCCCAAACAGTTGCTTATATTATTTTTAACACTTTGAAAAATACTAAAGTGTTTCATTGTTTGTTTGTTGTTAGGCATAAAACTACGTATCGGGCTAAATGGGTTCTATCTACTGCAGGTATCAAAACCCGAATTTTAGCCCTCAGACTTACCACTGAGTCACCCGGGGTCACTGGTATACTCCATATAAAATATTAAACACTTTTTGTTAATTTTGAAATTATATGTAGATATATACAACAGGGGATGACAAAACCTTGTCGAAACGTTGTACATTTGCTGTTATGTTAAACTTATATTAAAGTTTTTCTTCATTACCCATTCAAGCCGTCTCCAGCCATTATTATACAACAGGTGGCTCTGTCAGGTTCATGCATCAATATTTAGTGGTGCGTGTTTAGTAACCGGCAGGTCAAAGTTCATCAATAAACTTGAGATTTGGCGTACAGTGGGCACGTGCAATTTTAAAAGCTTTTACCCTTTGAACGTGTTAAACTGATATTTACTATTCAGCTAGAGTAGTTGCTATTATTATTAAAAGTATTAAGAGAGGGAAAGAATTTATGACTAACACAGTGAAGAATATCCCGCGATAGATTCGATAGTAATGGGTATCGGTAAGCTACTTTTAAGATAAGAAACATACTTGTAATAGAAGTTGTGTTTTCTTATTTCCAAGTTCCAGTTCTGTATATTTTTAGGTAGGTATCCATTGCAATGGTATTATAATTCATAGCACTACAGTCTAAACTATCTTTTCGTAATGAGTAAAGTACAGTTTGAACACGAGTGTAAAATAAGTCTATGTAAGATGTGATCGTTGTATAATTATTATCACTTGTGGTCCTATAACTATAAGTGACTATAACGTACAATATAAATACAAAACTAGATTTCCAGTTTCTAAGTCCAAACACAAAAAAAGTTGAAAACAATTTATAGGTAACTTTAGGTTATTTTTGGAAAATTATTACCATACACATTTACTGTAAACTAAAGGTCAGTGACTTTAGCTGGAGCCTACGATTTTTTGGGCCCCTGGGCAGTAGCCACTTTTGTCTTCCCGTTAATCCACCACTGTGTGTATATATGTGTATGTATAGGTAACTTGAAAATTTGATACAGAAGGCTGAGTATAATATCTGTGTGGACAAATGAAGTAAATAAGTATGTAATAAGAGCTGTGAGAAGTCAATCAACAATCATTCTTAGTTTATGGGCACACCTAAAAACTTTTTTTTTCTTATAAAGTAAGAAACTGCAAGCTATTTTTTACGAATTCAATACCAAAGATGAGGCACAGCAATTAACATACTGAATAAATTGGAAAATTATTTTTGATTCTAGTAAATAAGCATCACTCAAATACTCTTATTTAGAAAATGCATCATTCTGAAGCACATTTCTGCACCTAGTAAGATACTTAAGATATGTGAGAATTTAAAACAGTATTTTACTGTGTATATTTAGGAGAGTAGTATACCATTGATGCTGATTGGAATGTCAGTGTTGCTATCTTTGTTTCGCTAAGATATAATATTTATTGAGGTTTAATGTTTTGCTACGTGTTGAGATAAAAATATATCAAATTTTAATTTATAATTTTTCAGAAAGTCGATTTAAAGCCATGGAACAAGATTTATTCTTAGTGAATTTGGATAATGAGTTAAAAGAATATTGCCTGTCAATTTCTCTAAAACACCACTAAAAAATGTCCAAACTTTAACCATTATCCTTCATATCAGTTATGTGATAAATTATTAAAAGCTTTATTGAAAGCTTATGTGTTCTTCACAAAACTTCTGGTATTTTCTCAATACTCAACATTTTGCCTTTGACCAAGAAAATTTTAGATAATATTTTCCTACATTAGGTACCACTATTTTTTAAATCACTCAAGCCTTTTAGAAAGAAATTTGGTCACGTAAAAAGCACTTGATCAAGAGTTTATGTTTTCCCAAATATTTGTTAAAAAAAAAGACTTAACTTCTTGAGATTGTAAAATATCATACTAAAAGCTCTATTTATCAGATTTTGAAACCTCATAATAAAGCCCTTCACTTTTGCTGATTGTAAATTAAGGATGTCAGAGCTAGCCCTGCTGAAGAACCATAGTTAACATTTCCCTTTGAAAGACAAATATTTCAGATTATCTAGTTGAGTGTGTGAAGTTTGACATAATTCTCACAGAAGGCATTGTCTTGTGAACAAAATGTACATCATAAGTTTATTGGAAAAGCAGGTTCACATTTGTTTCCTTACTCAACCTAATTTGCTGTTATAGTTTTGTCAAGTGCAACAGTCATGTTGCTGTTATAGTTCTGTCAAGTGCAACAGTCATGTTGCTGTTATAGTTCTGTCAAGTGCAACAGTCATGTTGCTGTTATAGTTCTGTCAAGTGCAACAGTCATGTTGCTGTTATAGTTTTGTCAAGTGCAACAGTCATTTTGCTGTTATAGTTTTGTCAAGTGCAACAGTCATGTTGCTAATATAGTTTTGTCAAGTGCAACAGTTATTTTGCTGTTATAGTTTTGTCAAGTGCAACAATCATTTTGCTGTTATAGTTTTGTCAAGTGCAACAGTCATGTCTATTATTTTCTCCTGTGATCTTGAAGTGATTGTTAATTAAACTGCGCATTCTGTAATTTTTTCTTTTTCTTTCAGGTGTAATAAACTAAAAGAAATGACCACCTGGAACTGGTTGTGTCAGTCAGACTTGGTGGTCTGGGAAGGAAACACCCTTGGAAGATGTTTTCAAGAGTTAGTCATTGTATGTCCAAGTGCTGTAGTAATGGCCATTGTATGTGCCTGCTATGTGGGTAGGAACGACCACTGGGTTGTGAGACTTTCACATCAAAAGTGCATTATTTCCCTCAGAATCTTAATCACAGTTGTATTGTTTTTGTGTTCCATTGTTAAAGTTTTTCCTACATTTTTAGTCTCCAATCATTTGTTATCAATGGTAGAGTATATTTCAGCAGCAGTATGTGCTTTTAGCTGGCTAATACACATTGGCTATCTTTTTAACTTAAGATCTCATTTGACTGAAAACACTCGTGGACCATTTTCAGTTCTTCTTGCTTGGCTTCTGACTTTGGTAGCAGCTGTTTTACAGCTTCGTGCAAGCCTACTTCGTGATGATGAGTCATTCCAAGGATTGCTGGAGAAATATGTAGATGAATTTGTAGTAGGATTTCACATTTTGTATGCTCTGACTTTAGTGCCTCGTGGGTTATCTGTGGAACTGCACTATGAAGAGTTATCAGGAGTTCTGAGCAGAGAGCAACAGTCTTCAGTAGACACACCAACGAGCAACTATGGAAGGTTCCGTGAAGATGAAGATCCTCTAGACTTAGGTGTTGCAGAAGATGACAGTAATATTCTATCCAAGTTAACGTTCTACTGGGTACATAGTTTAATGAAAAAGGGAGAGAAACAGCTGTTAAATACTTGCAATGATTTGTTCATCCTGCCAGCCTCTTTACAGTCACGCAACATCGACCTGTTGTTTTCGTCTCATATGCAGTCTCTTTCTCTGGGAGCAGTTTCAGTTACTGAAGATGGTAATGATGATCCTGATGAAGATTTTGACAGTAGTGGTACAGGTACACTTGTGAGACGTCAGAAGTTTTCATTGTTGCAGGTTCTTCACAGATGCTTTGGAAAGGAATTTTATCTTATTGGTATCTTAAAACTGTTAGCTGATTCACTAGGTTTTGCTGGACCTTTAATGTTGAACTTGCTTGTATCATTTTTGGAAGATAAATTGGAGCCAACTAGTCATGGTTGTTACTATGCAGCAGGTCTCTTTAGTGCAACATTCTTGGCTGCTATTTGTAGCAGCCAGTTTGGATTTTTGATTACCAAAGTAGGGTTGAAGGTTCGAGCAGCTATCATCACCACCATTTATCGAAAAACTTTAGGTGTTAGTAAAACAACCTTGTCATCTTTCAGCACTGGTGAAATTATCAATTTCATGAGTACAGACTCTGAAAGAATTGTCAACTTTTGCCAGAGTTTTCACCAATTTTGGAGCCTGCCTCTTCAAGTGGGAGTGACCTTGTTCCTACTCTACCAACAAGTTGGGCTGGCATTTTTGGCCGGACTTCTCTTTGCTATTTTGATTATCCCTGTCAACCGTTGGTTAGCCATTAAAATTGGGGTACTCAGTAAAGACATGATGGAACAAAAAGACAAGAGAATTAAGGTGAGAAATTAAATACATTTTATTTTCTTTAAAATAGCAGTACAATTTATAAGTAAAATTTAAAATTTTACCAAAGACTCTTTGACATTGTACAGTGTGTTCAATGTCATGTTATACTGCATCTAATTTGATTGGCTTATTATTATATTTCAGTGCGTATGTTTTTTATTGGCTTATTATTACACTTTAGCAGTTATCGTTTGGATTGGTTTAATATTACACTTCTAAATTTATGATTTTGATTGGCCTGGTGTTGAATGTGTACTGGCTCTGCATGCATGTGCCCTGCTTGGATTGTCAGAACAGAAGTTGCTTTTCCTTTCTGCTTACTGGACTTGAAGTGAAGATGATTGCAACCCTCCTTTTACTGTGGACCAGATGACAAATACCTGATACCGCCTGGTTTTGGACTGGAGTTGAACGACCAATTATGGTGTGGTGAACCCTAGCTACTCTACACCATCTGGCATGTCCTATTACTGATTGGACTAGCATCTTTTCCTTTCGATTTTGTGACACGTTATCTTTACAGTGGGCAAAAAATATACCTTGTACAGGTAGGGTGTGGTCTCCCATGAGACTTCTGAATTTATGGAAGTTTACTATGTGAAGTATGACATGCTGTGGTATCAAACTGCAGAAAATACAAAACACTAACGATTGGTCAGATTGAAGTATATAATCATATTCCTTCTGGCAAAAATTTGTCATTGGACATGGAAAGGTCAAATTATAATGAACTTAGTGTTTTCTTAGTTCATTGGTTGAAATTGTAATACTTGGTGGTAGGACTACAATATTTGTAACTTTTATCTTGTTTTGGTCTCATTGTTCCGTCATATATTTCATTATTTATTATTAACTTAAAAAAGATTTATTTAATTTTCAACTTATTTTAGAGATTTATTTGTATTTGGATCCCAGTCTTTTTTTTACTTTTTTTTAACTACATAAAATATCTTTTTCATCTGTTTCTGTTTTGGTGTGTTATTTTGTTTCATAGTATTTTTACTTCAAATGATAGCTTATGAATGAATTCCTCTCCGGGATTCGAGTTATCAAGATGTATGCATGGGAAAGGATCTTTGCTGCCAAAGTCCAGGCAACCAGGATGAACGAAATGAATTTACTGAAAGCTAGAAAGTACCTGGATGCCTTGTGTGTCTATTTTTGGGCTACAACTCCAGTCCTGATATCAGTGTTAACGTTTACCACATACGTTGTTATGGGAAATCAGCTGACCGCTGCAAAGGTATGATAAATGGATATGTGATGACTTTTAAAGAATAAAGATGTCGGGAACTACATCCTCAAACTTCTTGTTTTGTGGAGATTGAGCACATGTGTGCTATGTGTAACTTTTTGTATTTAGTCTATAGAGATAAGTTTAAGTATTGTGTTTGAAAAATTACTTCTTTAAAAGTATATTAACAAAATCTTTTAAAGCTCTTTCAGTAAACTTACAAAACATAGCTAATGTTTTTTAAAGGAGCATTTTGATGTTACTTCATTTCATACTCTCATGACATTTAGAGACACAAATACAGCCAATTTGTTTGAATTTCACGTTCACAAGAATTTTTCTAATTCAGAAAAACGTTCCAAAATAAATTAAGAGAAAGAGAAAACATACTCATCACCTGTAGTAGAATAGATCTGTTAAATAAGAGAGAGAAAACATACTCAACACCTGTAGTAGGATAGATCTGTTAAATAAGAGAGAGAAAACATACTCAACACCTGTAGTAGGATAGATCTGTTAAATAAAACAGAGAGAAAAAACATATTCAACACCTGTAGTAGGATAGATCTGTTAAAAAAGAGAGAGAAAAACATACTCATCACCTCTAATAGGATAGATCTGTTAAAAGAGAGAAAGAAAAACATACTCAACACCTGTAGTAGGATAGTTCTGTTAAGTAAGAGAGAGAAAAACATATTCATCACCTCTAATAGGATAGATCTGTGAAATAAGAGTGAGAAAACATACTCATCACCTGTAGTAGGATAGATCTGTTAAATAAGAGAGAGAAAAACATATTCAACACCTGTAGTAGGATAGATCTGTTAAAAAAGAGAGAGAAAACATACTCATCACCTCTAATAGGATAGATCTGTTAAAAGAGAGAAAGAAAAACATACTCAACACCTGTAGTAGGATAGATCTGTTAAATAAGAGAGAGAAAACATTCTCATCACCTCTAATAGGATAGATCTGTTAAATAATAGAGAAAAAACATACTCACCACCACCTGTAGTTGGATAGATCTGTTAAAAGAGAGAGAGAAAACATACTCAACACTTGTAGTAGGATAGATCTGTTAAATAAGAGAGAGAAAACATACTCATCACATGTAGTAGGATAGATCTGTTAAAAGATAGAGAAAACATATTCATCATCTGTAGTGATTTAGATCTTTTAAATAAGAGAGAGAGAAAACATATTCATCACCTGTAATGAGATAGATCTGTTACATAAGAGAGAGAGAAAACATACTCAACACCTGTAGTAGGATAGATCTGTTAAAAAAGAGAGAGAAAACATACTCAACACCTGTAGTAGGATAGATCTGTTAAAAAAGAGAGAGGAAATATACTCATCACCAGTAGTAGGATAGATCTGTTAAATAAGAGAGAGAAAACATACTCAACACCTGTAGTAGGTTAGATCTGTTAAATAAGATATAGGAAACATACTCATCACCAGTAGTAGGATAGATCTGTTAAATAAGAGAGAGAAAACATACTC